CAGATTCAGCCGCTGTTGAAACTGATCAGTTTCAGCAGCGGCTGAATCTGGACGCCAGTTCCGACTTACATACAGATTCAACTTAAGAACAAACCTACAGTCCCTATCTTGTACGTAACCCGGGGACTGCCTGTATAAAGCTTCCTCTGAGAGCATACTCGTGCAACATATGGAGTAACTAAGCACAATGGGACAAGTTACAGATTCAGCCGCTGTTGAAACTGATCAGTTTCAGCAGCGGCTGAATCTGGACGCCAGTTCCGACTTACATACAGATTCAACTTAAGAACAAACCTACAGTCCCTATCTTGTACGTAACCCGGGGACTGCCTGTATAAAGCTTCCTCTGAGAGCATACTCGTGCAACATATGGAGTAACTAAGCACAATGGGACAAGTTAAATGTGGAACTTAAAATACTGTACAAGTATTTGTTTCTGTGGGTTTCAGAAAATCAGACTATTGTCAGCAATAGGCTGAACATTTATTTATCAGTTGTAGTCTGCTAAATTAGAGAACTATATTTTGCTATGTGCTGAAACAGCTAAAACATTTTTAATGGCTGTTTTGAGTTTGTTCTTAAAAAATATTTCCCCTTTCAATACGGTTAGTAAAGTACTTAGAAGAAAAGTAATAAATCTGACCATTACCAAAGTAAGTATCAAATCCTCTGCGGGTTGGAAGGCATTCTTTTTTATACATGCCTAGATGCCACTTCCCTACCATGTGGGTAACATATCCTGCCTCCTTCAGCAGTTCAGGCAGAAGTTTCTCATCCAGAGGGACACAGCTGGGCTGGCAAGGCCAAATTATTTGGTGTTGTAAACCTGTATGAATCTTGGAAAAATAAACCCAATGCAGGTATTAGTTTTACCATAATAGCAATGTATGCAATAAAAGCACTGTATCAATATTTAAAAATACACATCATAAAATGAGTCTGAAGTTTCACAATTCCATAGTACACGCAGCATTTTCTAGAAGACTCTGAAAGTGTAATATTGAAACATTTCCCAGAACTGAAGAATAGCTTTGTGTAAGCTTGAAAGCTTGTCTCTCACCAACTTAAACTGGTCTATAAGAGATATTACCTCACTCACCTTAGGTCTCTAATATCAGGGGACTAACACAGTTAAAATACTACATAAATTTAAGGAGAGGGATTCCAAGGTAAGACATTTCTTCACCATGCTGAATCACCTGTTAATCTATTTGTACTAATATAGAGGATGCTTATTGTTGTGGTGTCCTTCATGACACAGGGTTGCCAAGTGTCCAGTTTTCAATCAGAACATCAGTCAAAAAGAGACCTTGGTAGCTCCAGTCAGCACCAGTGATTGGGCTATTAAAAGTCCAGTTGGCGTGGGAGTCTACCTGGCTCAGTGCAGCTCTCAAAAGCAGTGTCATGTCCCTCAAGCTTCTAGATGGGAGGAAGGGGGACAGTCAGGTGGACTCTGTACATTGCCCCCATCTTGCACACCCGCTCCACAGTTCCCAGCCAATAAGAGCTGCTGGAACGGCACCTGCAGGCAGAGGCAGTCACCTTGTGCAGAGCCACCTGGCTATCTCTTTGTCTAGGAGCCAAGGGACATGTTGCTGCTTCCAAGGACCTTCCCTGAGGTAGGCGCTACCCCGAATCCTGTACCACACACTCCCTCTGCACCCCAATATCCTCCCACACCCAAACTCCCTCCTGGAGCCTGCACCCCCTCCCACACTCTTGAACCCCCTCTCACATCCAAGCTCCCTTCAGAAGCCCACACGCTGCACACCACCACACTCATCCCAACCCCCTGCCATAGTCCAGAGACCCCTCCCTCCAGCACCCTGAGCCTCTCATTTCTGGTCTCACCCCATAACCCACACCCCATCCCAGACCTCATATCCCTTTCCACAGCCTGGAGCTCCCTCCCCTCAAACTCCTTGGCTCCACTCAAGAGTCTCCTCCTGTATAGAGTCCCCTCCTGTATACCAACCCCCTCATCCCCAGCTCCACCCCAACCCCCTGCTTCAGGCTGAGGCTCCCTCCAACTGTCTCAACTCCTCATTTCTGGCCCCACCTCAGAGGTTGCACCCCAAGTTGCAGCCTGCACCCCTTCCTATATCCCTGCACCCCTTCCTATATCCCCACCCTCTGCCCCAGCACAGTGAAAATGAGTGAGGGAGGGTCAGGTCTTGTCAAGATAAAAAGCGAGAGCTTGCCTAACATCATGTGTGAAGACATGCCTGTAAGGCATCCTTGTGTGGTTTGGGGGAAAAGATAGTGTGACAAGGCAGGTTAGAGGGCTAGAGAGAGAGGAAGAGACTATTATTTCAGGGCAGCCAGGAGCAGCTAACCTGAGGCTATTAAGAGCAGAAAGGAAGCATCTGGGATGGGGCTGCTATAAATCAATTAAGGCCCAAGTGATTTGACTTCAGGCAGCCAGGGGTCCTTTTAAAAGGCCCTCCCTGCTGAGGGGAGATATGGTAGAGGAGTTTGGAAGGAGATGGAGAGAAGCATAAGTGATAAGAAAAGAAACAGAAAAGCTGAGATACAGAACAGCAGCAGTTGCCAGAGACTACAGGTGAGGCGAGGCAAGGGGCTCCTACCAGGAGGGTTTGGACTCCCCTACCCAAGTAGCCTGAGAGCCTAGCCAGTAGCTGGGGAGGGCTGGTACCCAGCCCAGGCTGACCAGGGACCCCAGCCACAACACCCTTTTAGCCAAGGGACAGAAGCCCAAACGCAGACAAGGACAAGCGGGACCTGTGCCACTGTACTTAGTCTTAGGACTGAACGGGGCAGAGGCCCAGGATTGGGACTGACCCTGTCACAGTAGGTAAATGTATTGGTTCATTGATGTGGAAGCCACTTTTGGTAAGAATTTTGGGTGCGGCCATAATGTAACAGTCCTTTGTGAATATGGTAAAGGGAAGGTCTGCTATAAAGGTCTACTACCTATCTTGCCGATGGCAATGAGAAAAGCTGCCTTCATTTCCATACGAAGGAGGGAGCTAGTGGCTAAAAGCTTGAATGGAGGTCTGGTAAGGCTTTTGAGTACATGGTTGAGGTACCAGAGAGGTGTAGGTTCCCAAACCATTGGGTATACATTTTGCATACCAGTTAAAAATTGTTTAGTGATGGGGTAGGAAAGAATTGAGGAACCATCAATTGGTTCATGGAATGGAGTGATGGCTTACAGATGAACTTTAAGGGAACCAAAGGATAAGCTTGACCCCCTGAGGTTGAAGAGATCTTCAAGTATGGGAAAGGTGCTTTGGTTGATGACATTGTATGTGTCTGTGGAAACAGACAGAAAAAGTCTCTGCTTGTAGAGGTAGGTTTTTCTGGTTGTAGGATTCAGCAATTTTAAAGTATCTGTTTAACTCTATCTGAACAGGAGCCATCATGATGGAACCATGGAGTAGCTAGGCCTTGAGATGAAGAGCTGCCGGATTGGGATTCAGCATTTCAACCATTGTGTTGTGATAGCAGGTCTGGACGGCATGGGAGTGAGTGAGGGCTGCAGAATGCGAGATGGTTGAGGTAAGGGTACCAGGTCTGCCTGGGCCTGTTTGGGATGATAAGGATAATTGTCAGATCTTGTGAATCACTTGATTTATGAGCAGTAGAGGTGAGAAAATGTAAATAAGTAGTGCTATTCATGGAACTAAAGGCATCCCCAAGAGATCCCCTGTCAGAGCCTGCTGTGGAGCAGAACTGATTCATTTTCAGTTCCTATAAGTGGCAAAGAGGTCAAAGAGGCTTTCCATTTGTAGAATACTGTTTGAATGACTGATGGGTCTATCTCCCACTCATGCTGTTCTGAAAAGAGGCAGCTGACAGCATCCACCATGATGTTCTGAACACCAGGTAGGTATGATGCTAGGGGTGTGATGTTGTAGCAAATGGAGTGTTAGGAAGAAAAGAGGCTATTGTGCCCATCTGCTTCACCTTCACTGTCTTGAGACAGCTAGAGAAAGAAGTGGCTGTTGTGTGGTTCCAGGAGGGGAGTGATTGGTACCAAGGAGTGGGGACTGTGGTACCAATGGGATCTCAAGATCAGAGTGGTGAAGAAATTGATTTGATGCTGAGAAGAGCTTCAGTGTTGTATGTTTCAGTGCCAGTCTGCTGGTAGTGGTCAGTGTCTATTGACCCTTGGTTGTCGGTGCAGAAGAATGTGTCAGAGCCGAGGCTGGTGCTGGCGGAACATCCATACGGGTTGGCTTTGGTGCCACTGCCTGTGCCGGTGTTGTGAGTGCTGGAGTTGTTTAGCATGCTGGCTCTGAAACTGTCCTTTTTGGTGCTGTTGGCGTGTGTGCCAAGGCAGCACCAGAGGTGCTGTGCTTGTCAGCGGTACTCACTGTAGAGGAGCTGGCTCGCTCGATTTGTGAGTCCTGGTCTGAGGAAGATAAGGCTCACTTCCTTGAAGTAATGGAAGTCTGAGCCTTGTCTTTGGACCCCATTGTTGACGGGTCAATGGGAAATCCATCTCCTGTTGGTTGGAGGGATTTTTCTAAGAGGATCACCTGGAGGCGCAGTTCTCTACCTCACCTGGTCCTTGCTTTCATGTTGCTGCAATGAGAGCACTTCTGAGGAATATGGCTCTCCCCAAGGCAGTGAACACAAGAAGACTGTCCATCAGAGACTTGCATGGCATCTCTGCAAGTGTCACTTGAAGTCAGGGGAACAGGGTCTGGTGACAGTTGAGGTTTCTTCAGGATGCAAAGATTTTCTTTATTCTCCGTTTTTCTTTTCTCCTTCTGGTTTTTTGTTTTTGTGTTTTTTAAAGAAGTTAGGTTAATTCTTTAGAACAAAAAGGAAAGAAGGAAGGAATTGGGAGGGGAGGAAAATGGGGAAATCTAGCGCCTCTTTCCAAAAAGAAAGGTTTTTGTTCTTGTTTTTTCTTGAAAGGTTTTTTTCTTGAAAGAAAAAAAAGGTAAGGAGAACAGATGGGAAAAGAATAAATGGATAACAAGCTGTTTTCTTTGTATTTCAGGCAAAGGAGTGACAACTGCTAAGAGCGCCATCTGCTGCCAAGGATGATAGAGAAGGAACTTAGGGGTAGCTGCGTCATGTGCACAGTCTATAGACACAAGTGGCACCATGACAGGCTACTGTGCAGGCAAAATGCGATCCAACACTGCTAAGAAAAATCTCTGATTTGGCAGCATAAGGTCACACCGACACCTAAAGTGGAACACCCACAGAGACAACATTCTAAGATGCCTGACATCCTCTGGTAGCATGATACTCCTGTTAGTTCAAAGTTTTAAAATAAAAAAAACCCCAAACCAAATAAGCCTTAATTCTGTAATGATAAATTGGAACAAACTATAATTACAAATAGAATTGCAAGGCTCCTAGAAGATCATGATATAGGGTCTAAGCAGAATGGCTTCTGCATAGGAAAGTTATGCCTCACTAATCTTAGAATTCTTTAAATGTGTCAATAAAATAGTGAATAAAAGAGATTCAGAAATGAAAAACTGGACTTTTAAAAGTCTGTCATAAAAGGCTATTCATGAAATAAAATTGTCATGGTATGAAAGGCCAAGTATGCTCACATAGCAGAAACTGATAGTAAAAGAACAAAAAATGGCCAGTTTTCACCAAGACACACAAACCTTAACACTGGAGTGCCACAAGATGCTATACTAGAAGTGGCAATTAATATGCTGATGATCTGGAAAAAGGAGAAGCAGTCAGGTGGCTAATGATACCCTTTTGTCTTCTGCAAATTTAGTCAGGAATGGAGAAAATGGAGGAACTTCAGAGAACCTAACCAACCTAGACAAATGGGCAACAAAACAGCAGATGACATTCAATGTTAGTCAATGAAGAGTAACACAGGATGAGTAGTTTAACTTACTCTTTCCGTACAATTTACTGGAATCTACACTATATCACCTCAAGAAAAGGACCTGAAGACTTCTACTCAGCATGAAGCAGCAGACAAAAATCGAACAAAGCATTAGAATGGATAGGGAATGAGATAAAGAATAGTACAGAAAATATAACATCATTATATAAATCCATTCATTTGCTCTGAATACTGTTTTTAGATGGAGTAACCCTAACCTTAACATAAGTCTTGTGTTGAAAGCTGACTATCAATTGATATGCATACATTTAAGGTAAATGCTATCTACCACTGTGCAATGCTGAGGAGTCAAGAGTAATAAAAATCCCACATAGAGGCTACATCTAGACTGCAGGCTTCTTTCAGAAGATTGTTTCTGCTTTAGGAAAGAGAACATCCACACACAAACATGCATCAAAAAAGCAATCTGCTTTTTTGAAAGGGTGTCCAGACTTATTGGACACTCTCTCACATAAAAGGCCACCCAGAACCACTTCAGGCAGGGCATTAGGTCAGCAGTTGTTTCTGGATGCTGTTGCCTAAGGCGATCTGAGATGTGTGCTTAAAGGGACCCCCCACGGACAGCTGTTTCTCAGGTTCTGCTGCAGGCTTGCCTACCTCTCTGAGGGACAGCAAAGTTTGTGCAATGCATGCTTTGGTTGCCCAGCTTTTGGACACCACAGCATTCTTTTTGCTACGGAGCTGGAGCTACCCATGGGCATGTGATGGCCCTACACTACCATGCTGCGGGTTCTGCAGCAGTTTATGCAAACCGTCTTGATGGCTCAGCCTCTGAGCTCATCTATGAGTCCCTCTGCCTGGATGTGGGAGCAAGGCCCTTGCACCCAGACCCCACGATAGAGAGATGATTCTGGAGACTGGACACCAGTTCTGACTGGTGGAACCAGCTGGTGATGGAGCAGTGGGATGACCAGCAGTGACTCAACAACTTCCACATGTGGAAGGCTACCTTTATGGAACTGTGTGCCTGGTTTGCCCCTACCCTTCAGTGTGACATCTATCTGTGGCTCTGGAGAAGCGGGTTGCCATCACTGTCTGGAAGCTCACCATCCCAGACAGCTACCTGTTGGCCAACCAGTTTGGCATGAGGAAGTCCACTCTCAGGGCCCTCCTTCATGGAGGTAAGACACTCTTGTCCCTGAAGGGGTGGGAGGGGGGACCCTAGAGAAAAGGGAGTGGGGCGGTGTGGGATGGCCTGAGGGAGGGAGGGAAGCCCTGTCCCTGGGGAGTTGTGCCATCCTGCCCTCATACAGCCCTGATGGGGTGGCTCCAGAGGTGTTTGAGGGGGGAAGGGAAGAGAGGCAGGCACCTCCTAAGGGCTCCAGCACTTCCCCCACCCAATATCTGTTTTGTTTGTTTCTTTGTCGTCTTCTGCAGATTGTGAGGGCCATCAACTCCATCCTGCTGGGCAGGGTCATCCGCCTCAGACACCTGGACCCCATTGTTGCAGGATTCGCCGCCCTGGGGTTCCCCAACTGCAGAGGAGCCATAGATGGAACCCACATCCCAGTCCATGCACTGCATCAACAGAAAGGGCTATTTCTCCATGGTGCTGCAGTCCCTGGTCAACCACCATGGACAGTTTTTGGACATTTTCATTGGGTGGTCGGGCAGGGCACATGATGCCCGCATATTCAAAAACTTCAGCCTCTACCACAACCTGGAGGCTGGCACACTCTTCCCCCAGAGGGACTTTCTCATGGGGGACGTCCAGATGCCACTGTGCATCGTCAGGGACATGGCCTACCCACTCATGCCATGGCTCATGAAGCCCTACACTGGCCACCTGCACCCCAGCAGGGAACAATTCAATGCGTACCTCAACCGGGCCCAGATGCAGGTCGAATGCACCTTTGAGTGCTTCAAGGAGTGGTTCAGGTGCCTCCTGACCCACCTCAACGTGGGGGAGCACAACATCCCTGAGGTGGTCACGGTGTGTTGTATCCTCCACAATATTGTGGAGAACAAGGGGGAGGCCTTCCTCCTGGGGCAGAGGGCCTCTGAGCAGCCACGGTCAGCAGCCATCCACCAGGCACATCAGGTACTTCTGAGAGGCCCTGAGGGAGAGTCTCTCTGAAGGACCCCAGCAGTAATTCTCCCCAGGGCCTCCCCAATAGGGGCCTCTGCCTTGGTCCCCTATACCTTTCCAACCACAACCCCTCCCTTCTTCCCTTCCCTGTACTCCCAATGAACACACCAGTTTTGAGTGGAACTACAACTTTTTTTAAAAAAAGAACAGTAACTGGGGAGGAGGAGAGCAGAGAACCTGGAGGGAGGAGGAGGTTCAGTGCTGCGAGTGGCATGTGGGGCAGCTAGTGGAGCCACCTCAGGTCCAGGAACCTCGACGAACACAGGAGTGGCTGGGGCCTGGGACCACTGGGAGGTAGGCAGGATGAGGGGCTGGAGTGGAGTCAGGGATGGCTGGGAGGGGGGCAGGAGCAGGGGTATGGCAGGGGGAGCTGGAGTGGGGAAGGCTAGAATGGGAATAGGAGCTGGGTGTGCCATCACTTCCCAGATGGTAGCACACAAGTTTTCACTTTGCTGCACAAGATGATCCCACATTTGGTTGTGCCACCTGGCATCATCCCGGACCTTTTGGGCCAGGGTTTGTTGCATATCACGCAGGACAGCCATGTGACTGCCCTGGGGTCGGGCGGCTGCTTCTGATGGCATGGATTGCTCCTCAGCGACATCTGGTCTGGCTGTGGAGGAAAAGAGGGAAAGGTGGTCAATCATCCCTGCAAATACTGTGCATGAGGCCATGCCCTCCTGTGTGAGCAGTGACCAACAGTCCTTGGTCCAGAGGAGGAGGATGTCTCGTGAGCCAGGCCATGTGTGGCCTGCACTACAGGACCTGTCTCACAGAGGCCTGAGGTGCCCAGGGGACCACGCTTCCTCCTACCCCCACCCCTGTCCTATGGGCAAGCAAACAAGGGAAGTGTCTGGCTACAGTGGGATGCCATGGGTGGAAGAGGGGCTTGGAGCAGGCTGCACACACCTGCACCTGGCAGCACTGTCTGCAAGAGCAGGTGGTTCCTTGAGCATGCAGGCATGGCTGTCTGCAATACTCCTAAGAGAGCTTGGAGTTGTGCGTGCGCCCTTGTGTCCAGTCCGCTTCCAGCAGTGTCTGGTGGGGGGGTGGTATCCCCCCAGGGGTCAGATATGGTTGGGAATCCCACACAGCCCTTGAGCATGAGCCTGTGGGTGCTTTGCAGCTAGCTCCTGAGGCCACATGGTGAACACTGCCGCTGCACATGCACGGAGTGCAGCACGCTGCCCAGGATGAGCGACGATCGCTCCCTATCCCCTCTGCACCCGCCTCCCCTGCCCTGTGTGTGTAAAACTGACAGCACTCACCTGATGATCCCTCCCCGGTGTCAGGGGATGCCTGGGAGATGTCCAAGGCATGGGGTACTGGCTCCAGGATGAGGGTGACCATACTGGCCATGTCCTCCTCCTCCTCCTGCAGCTTCTGTTCATCGTCGTCCTCCTCATCATCATCAAGGAGCTCCAGTGGGGCAACCACAGGCATCTCGAGCCTCGAGTCCACTGTTACAGGTGGGGAAAGGGCACCTTTCCCCACCTGTAACAGTGCTTCACCACCCCCAAGGATTCTGTGTAGCTCCTTGTAATATGGACACAAGTGTGGTCCTGCCCTGCAGTGAGAGCTGCGATCTCTGGCCCTGGCGCATCCCTAGCACAGCTGCTCGACCTTGCTCCTTACGTGGTCCAAGGTGTGGGGGTGGTGTCTCCTCTCAGCCAGAGCCTTGGCCATCCGTCCATAAATGTCAGCATTGTGCCTCCGGAAGTGGGGATCCTGCAAGGTGGCCTCTTCCCCCACATCTCCAAGAGGGTCAAGATCTCTGCCCGGACCAGGAGCGAGGACAGCGTTTGCTGGCCCCGGGTGGGCCCTGGGAGCCCTGGGGCTGCTTCCTGTGAAGGCCAGGGAAGGTCTCAGGGGGATGGAGGAAGGACTTGTTGCTCAGCCATAGCTCTGAGTTGTGTGGCAGGGAGAGCCGTGCAGTCAGGTGCTGCTCCAAGGGCTGGCTTCCTCTCACAAAGCTTGTCCCCAGTGCCTGCAGCTTTAAGAACTGGCAGGAGACAGGAACCATAGAGTTGTGGTTAGTATGGATGGAGTGTCCACCACGGCACCTGTGTTATTTCCTGAAAGCCCCGTCTTTCGAAAAAAAAAACCTTCCTCCCCACACGCCTTTTTCTGAAAGAGCTCTTTCGAAAAAGGCAATCTTCCTCATAAGAAGAGGTTTACCGCACTTGGAATAACTCCTCTGTTCTTTCGATTTACCTTCAAAAGAATGTGATTGCAGTGTGGTCGTAACTCAAGTTTTGTTGGGAAAACAGCTGTAGTGTAGACATACTCAGAGAGAGCCAGAAGTTACAGAGAAGGAAGAGAATACTATGTGACAGCATCTCTCATTTGCAAGTCTGTACAACGTCACAAGAACGTTCCAAATATTTATATAAGGGGTCTAAATGAGACACAAAGCAATATGTGACTTGACCTCTGGTTGGGAAATAGGGGGAAGGAAGTCAGGGCCTCTCTATGCCACATACAATCTTGTTAGGATAGCATATCCACATTACAAAGAAGGTTTGTGTGCATAACAATCTGGAGCAGCTAATGGCACCACACTATGTATGCCAGTTAAGCTACAAGTGCTTTGGAAGACAGAGGTATACATAAATCGAGAGTCCAGGCCTGGAATGGCTAAAGAATCATAAGGCAGGTTTGAAAGAAGCAAAGGAAATCTTATTTCTGATCTCCCTGCCTGTGCCCACACCATCACATATTCAATTTCCCAGGTAGGACAATGTGGTGGATCAAGATGGAAGAAGAGTATTGTAGTTTGGCTGTTGTTACACTAACAGCTCACAAATAGGTCACAGTGTATTAGCAAGTCTTGATTTTTTCCTTATTCCTCTGACCTACTCAGATGGAATAAAATGTGTTTTACCAGACACGTTAGGAAAAAAAGGCCAAGTCATAGTGGGCTATGTTCTCTAACGTTAGTCCATATTTCTAACACAGCTAAGCCAAAAGCAAATTAGCCAGTGTGTAGCTGATATATACATTAGTTATGTAGCTTATCCGCAAACATAACCCTCTCTCAAGGTAAGTTATGAAATGAAAAAATAAACAGCACACAAATTTCACAATTCTCAAAATATCAGTAGAAGTCACATCACTGACTTCTGTGTTTCTTGTAAAGTTTCAACGGCACTTAATTTCTACGTTTGAGCATAAAAACCTAACTAGATTAGGCATTTGAAAGGACAAGTACATCTGACAAATAGCTCTTTCAGTCCTACCATAACAAGGTATCAGAAACTGTGCACAAGTTTATATACAATCTGAAGAGCTCAGACTTCTTACATTTACAGATTTTTTTCTCTCCAAGTACTTTACACTGTAACCTACTATGGTATTGTTTTGCTGACAAGCAAAAAGTTAAGTTCTCTTGATAGGACATTACCACACCACCAATGATATGCAATACCAGGCTAGACACACAGTTGACAAGTTTTTAGGCCCTGTCGTAGGCACATTGGAAGAGTAATTGCTTCTTATAAACATTTCCCCTGAGAACTCTTTCCTTACTTTGAATTGTCTGCTTGTTCTGTAACAGCAAAAGCCACTTTGGATTAAGACAGCAAAAATTAACTGATATGTTGCTACTAATAAGCATGTTCTATAATACAATCCTGTTCTTTTACTGCGGGAGAGAGCAATGCAAGAACCCACTAGATGGCTCTCCCTCCCAAATAGTCTTGTATGTGTTATTTACTACAGGGCATCAAGTATCAGAGGGGTAGCCGTGTTAGTCTGAATCTGCAAAAGCGACGAGGAGTCCTGTGGCACCTTATAGACTAACTGAAGTGTTGGAGCATAAGCTTTCGTGGGCAAAGACCCACTTCGTCAGATGCAGGGCAGCTATCATCTTTACTAAAAAGTAACAATCCTCCACAGGAATTTAGGTTTTTTCCTCTGTACAGAGAGCTAGAAAAAATAATGTCCCCTAGTTCTGTTGGTCTTAGCTAATGTATTCAGAAAATGTAGGGTAAAATTTTCAAACGGGCTCACGTGATTTTTAAGGAGCCTAAATCCGTTGATTAAAAGTCATTTGGTCCTTTCGTAACTCCATTCGGTGTCTCCCTTCATCTTCCCATGCCTAACTACCTTTAACAAGGCAGCCCCGCAATCCATGGGGCTTAGGAGCTCCTGAAAGCGTCACCCTTGGCTAGGGCGGGCTGAGGCGCCTAATACTGCCAGTCCCTTGCTGAGACTGGGGAGGACTTAGAGGGGTCGGGAGAGGCTCACACGCCCCCACCCCCAGCTTGTGCCCCTAATGCGGGGCCCTCCCGCCAAAGTAGCTCAGGCAGAAGCCAGTGCCACGCTCAGCATCTCAGGGGAACCTCCCCATGTCCCTGCCCACCCCCGGAGCCCCTGCCGGGCTTGGGGCTGCCCAGGCGGCGCTGGGACCGGGCTTACTGGCCTACCTGGTACCTGCCGGTGAGCAACTGGCTCCGGGACGGGGTGCCCAGGGGCTGTAGCGCTCCAGCCCCACCCCGCCCGCCCCCAGCGCATCCAGGTGCGGGGTGCGGATGAGGGAGTCGTGCCAGCCCACGTCGTGCCAGCCCAGGTCATCGGCCAGCACCACCACCAGGTGCGGGGGCGCCGCGCTGCCCGTCAGGCACAGGCGCAGGCAGCACAGGAGCAGCGGGAGCCGCGCTGAGCCCAGGCCGAGCCCCGGACGCCCCGACATGCCGCCCGCAGCTCAACCAGGAATTGGTCGGCGGGGCGGGGCACAGGACCAGCGACTTCAGCACTCCGCCCCCTGCATAGGGCCAGGGGCCCCGCCCCGGGCCCGCCCCCACACGCAGCCGGGGAAGGGAAAGGACCGAGGTTCCGCCCTTTCCACAGAGCAAGGCACCAGCCTAGTGCTTTGTCCGTGCCACAGGCCAGTGGCCTCAGGGTGGGCAAGGACTGTACTTCGGCCGGCCCATCCCACACGACAAAGCAGGCAGGTCAAATTCAGAGAAGTTTCTTCCCCTGACAGCCTCTGCCAGTGCAGCTAACCTCTCCAGCACCACCCATTCTGCACAGACCTCCAAAGAAGCTTTGTGGGAACCCAGGGGAATTATGAAGGGAGCTGACAACACTAGAACCGCAGACAGATACATCCCTGCACAAACGTGGACTTCAAAGTCACCCCTAAAAAAACACTACAAACCTCTGATCAGCAGCATCAGAAGCAACCCCACCTCTCACAGAACTCTTCCTCTGTCAGAAAGAAAACAAAAATAAGAAAGAAACCTTAAAAAATAGCAAATAGTCTTGCAGCACCTTACAGACTAAAAAAAATGTAGATTGTGGATTGTGTCCACGAAAGCTCATAATACCATCTACATTTTTTGTTAGTCTCCAAAGTGCTACAAGACTATTTGTTAGTTTTTAAGTTTTTTCTGCTAATACTAACACAGCTACCACTCTGAAACTTAAAAACAAGAAAAGTTCTTTGACCCGCACTGTCAAAAAGATACTGGAAAGCAAATACCCCTTTAAGTTAAAAATACACAGAAAATCATGCAATGTTTAGACGCGGTTATTTTGAGAAAAACCCCTTCTTTCAAAATAACCATTATACCTCAATTTTTAAGGAGTAAGGGTTATTACGAAAGAAGGGTTTGTTTTTTTTAAACTCCCCCCACCCAGTCTAGACTGCGTTTTTCTTTCGAAATAGAGTATTTCAAAAAAGCACCCGGGCGCAATTATACAAATGAAGCGCAGGAAATTCAAATCCGTGCTTCATTTGCAATTTCGCTCGCCTGTATTTGCATTCCTCTCTCGAAAGAATGCAGTGTAGACATACCCGTAGTGAAAAGTTAAAAGCAAATAGACATTCTCATAAAAACACTGGGGCTATAGTCAGAGCTGTCCTGTCCATAGGACAGTTTGGGACAACCTCCACAGGCCCTGGGTTCGTGGGAGCCTCACAGCAGCTGTCCCAACTGTCCTATGAATGGGACCCAGGGAATAATGTAGGGCCAGAGGCCTTCTGGGGCAGCAGAAGAGGTTGCCCCCACCCTCACCATGGCAGTAGGATCCAAAGTGACCTAGAAGCCTGCTCCACTCTGTCCCACTGCCCTCTCCTGACCTTCTGTGCTCCAATTCTCTATGGCGGTGGGAAGCAGAGCACCCCAGCCCAATTCCCGACACTATGGAGAAGCAGGGCGCAACAGACCAGGAGGGTGATGCAGTGGAACAGAGCAGGCTGCCATGCCGCTCTGGCTCCCATTGTCACAGTTGTGGAGGGCCCCCAGGCCATGTGGGGAAGGGCCCGAGCTTTTGGGAGGGGCAGGGCGGAGGATTATCCCAGGCTCCATACTTGGACCTATGGGGAGGGGATTGCCTCAGGCCCTGCACCCCCCACCTTGGGATGGCCTTGGCTATTGTGTACCAAACTCTATTAGACAAACCAATGTACACATAGTAACTGAAAGAAATCCCATAAACTTAAGCTGAAGAAATCACGCGTCCAGATAATATCATTATTTAAAACACTAAAACAGTGAACAAATCCAAGAAAAAAGGCAGTTAACAATAAAAATAGTGGCCTGCTTTGCAGATTTTTCCAAATATTTTTACTTTATTTGACATTTAGGTCTGAACTTTAAACTGTGACAAAAGGAAAACAGGTGGAAAAACATAACTAAATGTTTATACCAGTTCACTATGGGTATGTCTACACAGCCAAACCATTATTTTGAAATTAATTCGAAATAACGGAGGGCTTATTTAGAATTTGGTAAACCTCATTCCATGAGGAATAATGCCAAATTCGAAATAGCTATTTCGAAATAATTGCTGTGTAGACACTTATATCGAAATAGGGGGCCTCCAGCCTTCCCAGGGTGTCCTCTAAGCCTCAACCAAGAACACTCCTCTCCCTCCCCCCTCCCAGGAGCCCTTAAAGGGGTTGACTCTAGCCACAGTGCCTGTGCCAGCTCCAAGCCTGCCAGCCCAGAGCCAGCAGTCACTGCCCCGACCCAGTGGCCCCAACACATGAGAGCCAGGGCCGGCTCAACAGAACGTGGGGCCTAATTCCGGGGGTGGGGCCGCACATGCGCGGGGCCCCGGGTGGCATGGTGCATGCGTTGCGCGCCGGAGGCATGACGCATGCCCCGTGTGTCCCGGATGTCACGACGCATGCGCTGTGAGCCCACACATGCGCAGTGTCCTGGGAGTACAACGCATGCGGGGCCCCACGCTGGGGAATCAGCTGAATCGGCCTAAAGCTGGCCCTGCTGGCAGCCAGCCCTCCACTGCTCCCCAGGAGCAGTCTTCCAGCTCCCAGGAGCCTGCCAGCAGGTGGAGATCACAGACCTTATTCAGGTCCTCTAGGCATACTGGCAGCAATCCTCTAAAACTGAGAGATCTGATATCCATATGGTATCAGAGGAGTTTGGAAGACTATTTCATCTCACCCACATCCAAGGAAGCAAACAAGATATCTGAAATCTTGAGACCCCCCCCAACCCTGAACCCTGAGTTTCCCCTCCCCTTTCTTCCCCTTACTTTCCCCTTCCAGCTCCCTCCTCCCAGGTTTTCCCCTCCGCACTCCCACCGTCTCTCTTCCCCTCTCCCACCTCTTTTCCCGAGTCTCACCAGAGTTTCATTCCTCCCCCCAGTTTTGTTAAATAGAGAGAGTTTGTATTCATGAAAATACGTGTATTTTATTTGACATCAGGAAGGGGGGCTAGGGAGGGGTAAGTGGAAGGACATGAGGGAGGAATGAAGATCAAGCCCCCAGTGGGGCAGACCTGGGAGGCTCTTAGTTCTCCTCAGGGTAGAAGCTCTCCTGCAGGACCTCCTGATGGACCTCTCGGATGGCAGCCTGCAGAAAGTGCAGCCAGGCTCGCAGCAACGCATCCATGAGAAGCACCAGAGTGCCCAGGGGCAGCTCTGGCTCCATGTTGCAGAGTGCTGTGGTGTCCCGAGTGAGGACAGCCAGAACACACAGGGACAAAATGCTTTGCTGTCCCTCATCGAGGTAGGCAAGCAAGCAGGGAAAGCTGAGAACTGGCTGTCATAGGGGGTCCTTTTAAGCACAGGCCTCAGATAGCCTCAGGCAGCAGCCACACAAACTAACTCCTGACCTGATGCCCTGCCAGACCTGGTTCCGGCTGGCCTTAAATGAGATTCAGCATCCACTCAGTGTGGATGCGCTATTTCAAAATAGCAAAACGCTATTTCGAAATGTATTTTGTGTGTAGACGTGTTATTTCAAAATAACTTATTTCGAATTAACTATTCACTGTAGCGTAGACATACTCTAACACAGGCCAAAATAAATTATATGCAGACAGAGGCTTTCAAACAAAAAAGAAAAGTGAGACAGGTATATCTACCAGATTCCTCAACCCTGGGACCTCCTGTAAATACCTCAATCATAAAATGCCTGTTCTGGGGGATGATCTATTACACACATAAAATGGGGTCCAAAGGAACCTTCAGTTAATAGAAACATACTGCAGGTTTTAGAAATTAACCTGTATAGCAAGATAACAAATATGGATTAAAAACAACAACAAAACCCACCAAAATGAATTAGAAACTGACACAGAATACACAGACATTCCTCAGCATCATAATAAAAGCATTGGAGAGCATCCTGCTGGGTACAGAAGAATTAGAAGAAAAGCTCTTTGGACCTTCTACACCATTAAATAAATCAGTGGATAAATACAGATGACAAATAAAACTATATGACAGCATAATCCAATGTTAGTATATAGGAGTGACATCTGAAGTTTAAACATGACTACACTAACTGGGAAAAGACATTAATAAAAACTCTACAGTGCTTATGTACAGTATTTTGGGTATTATACATATGATTTACTAAATACTATCTTCAAAAAAGACTTGGGATGGTTGAGAAAGAGAAGCAATCACGTATATAAAAGAATATTCTTTTTATGTGTCAACTCAACCAAAGCAGCATACATATTCCCCCCCTCAGAGCACTCAACAAATAAAGAACTAGAGATAAGTGAAAATACAGTTGTGATGGCAGGAAGGTCAACCAGACCACCTCCTTTCAGTTAGGCATGGCATGGGATGTGGGCTCTGCTTCTCTTCTCTTCAGCTGAGTTATAAAATTTCAAAAAGGATCTCCCTCTTTCAAAACGCTTAATTTATTAACAAATAATCATAAGGGGCTGGGATCCATTAATCAGATTCTCTAGTTTTTGCTTCAAGAGCTAAGTTGAAGTGTAGCCAGCTTTGATGCCTGTACCAGCTTTCCCCTCAACTGTATCCTTTTCTTTAATTAGACTTCAGACATTTACTAACTTTACTAGGATCAGCTACCCTTTTCTAGCAGGTTTCTCAGGCCACTTGCCTTAGAGAATTCTATCTCCTTCCTTCAAGCAGGAACTCCCCTCAATCCTCTTCTTAGAGCTGACTTTCATAAATTAAACCGGCTGTATATCTTTTCTCAGTTTCCTTCAGCAAAGTACCTTTCTAATTGGGCTATCAGAAAGTTCAGCAAGATAGCCTTCCCAAACGTGTCTGCTTTGTTCTTTTTGTATTTTATGGTGTAGCAAACTCACATTCTAAGTCTATAATGATAGTTACTGGATTTTATGATATATAGTTATTGTCCTTGTCTTTTCTCTCTCGCTTTTTTTTTTTTTTTTTGGTACCCCATTCTCCTAATGTTCTTACGAGGCATTTTGGTGTAAAGTTCATCACTTTTAGATGCCTGAAATTGTTATATAAAATGCCCCATCAACATATATTCCAAGAGGATCAG